CCTCTTCATCTCTTGGTTCATAGCTTATCTTACTCTTCTTCCTTTGGTTCATTTAGACTGGCCTGGTAGTCACTGGCCTTGGAGTTGACCTTATCTCCCCCAATACTAATATCCTCTCTCTCTTATACACAGATGCCCATGCCATACACACACTATCCTTGACTCTTCTCCCATAGGGTTAGGTACTTGGTAATGGTCTCAGCCATATCATGTGTGAATACCCAACCCCCAATAACAAAACAACCAAGATATGCGGAAAGTATAGATACTTTACACAATGAAATGATTCTCCCCCATTCTCCCTTTTGGGATGGGTGGGGGAAGGCTGAGAAGCTGACTTCATTTTACATCACACTTAATTTCTTCCTTTTCTGTCTCCCTGTTTGCTTCAGCAAACGTATGAAGAGACAGTGTGCATTGTAGGACCAACAGGAAGAACAGACAGTGTGACATGTTGTACAGCTGGGCTGTGGTGAGGAGACCGGTGAGCTGAGCCAGAAGGCCAGACTAGATGCCCCACAGCAATTTACTCTTTTGTCCAGGGAATTCTCTGTGCCTTGTCTGAGGCCTCCGTTTCTCCATCTATAAAACAGGCGATAGACATTTCAGAGGATTATTGACAGATTTATTTTTATTTTTTTTCTAAATTTTTTTAAAATTTTTATTTATTTTATGATAGTCACAGAGAGAGAGAGAGAGAGAGAGAGAGAGAGAGAGAGAGAGAGAGGCAGAGACATAGGCAGAGGGAGAAGCAGGCTCCATGCACCGGGAGCCCGACGTGGGATTCGATCCGGGTCTCCAGAATCGCGCCCTGGGCCAAAGGCAGGCGCCAAACCGCTGCGCCACCCAGGGATCCCCTATTGACAGATTTAAATGGCATAATGTATCTATGGGACATAGCTTCATTAACAAAGTCTTTACAACTTCTTGGTATCTTTTACTGATGGTGGAAGTCTCAGTGCTTTAAAAGAATAAACCCAAATTGGAAGTAACTGAGGTACAGAGTACAACTGGATGACAATACCTATGGTCTCCCATGAAAGCCTATAGGACTCCTCATTTTTCAGTATTTTAAATTATTTTTTGTATTAGGAATCATGAAATGCAATTTCTTTAGAATCTAGGTTTGAATCTGCACTCTTCCACTTGACTGTGTGACTTGACACCCCCCCCATTTCCTAAATTATCACTTGGATGTAATATTTTAGATGTGTATGTGAGTCAGAATGAGAATATATTGTGCAGAATGTGTAGTTAGGATTCAGAGATCCTATATTAGGATCAGCACTTGTTGAAACCCTCCCAGGTGTAATAGGCACTCCCCCGTGACCTGGACCTGAGCACAGAGGGAGGGTTCATGCCCATTTTCACCTGGGAAACAGCTTCCCACCTGTGCAACTGGACACGACACCAGAAGACTCTGCTCCTCCTTCAAGCAACTTCCAAGGCAAGACGTTGCTTTGATCTTGAGCCTGCTGCAAAAAGTCTCCCTTGGCAAGTGTACCTATGACAGCTGGACTCTGCAATGTCAACTTTCTGTAGACAACACTGAAAAAAATATAAATGTCAAGTACTCTAGAGAAGACTTGATGAGGGAAGCCAGGTGTGTGCTAGAATCCAGCTGAAGAGAGTTGAAACTGTGCCAGATAGCTTCATATTTTAAAAATGGGGGAGGGGGGAGGAAATGTCATGCTTAGGAGAATCCCTGTAAGTATCTCTACTGCCCTGGTCTTCATTAGTCAGGGACACCAAGTTCCCTCTGCTGATTGCCTCTGGTTAATTTTCTATGCAACTTGACAAAAAAAGAATGTGACAAATTCTATCTCAGAGCTCCCAACCAGGCAAGACAGGGCTGTGTTTGTCCTTGCTGACCCAGGAGACCAAGAAACCAATTAAAACTCTTTCTCGTCTTTTATCCTCCACTGATGATATCAACATAATGATGAAGTTCTGGTCCAGAGCACCCACAGAGTACTAGCGGTTCCTGGCTAGTGTGGATTTGGGGGAGACCACCTGACTTAGCCCACACGATCATTTAGCAGGTCTCTGAAAGGGCTGAAAAGGGGGGCTAGCTTTTGACACACAAAATACCCTAAATGAAGCAGGCTCCATTCCTTGGTTTCATTGGCAAAGGATGACTGAAGCTTCTTAAAGCCTGTAGACCCTTTGCCCAAGAAATTTCCATGACCAAGACATTTGAATGAGTCCATGTCTCTACAACCTCCTGCTCAGGGGCAGGTCCAGATTTTGTTGTGTGTGAAACTTACATAATTTGGTGATACTCTCTTAAAGGCAAAGACTACATAATTATGAATGCAAAATTAGGCTTGAATGTTTATTTGGAATAAAAATATATCAAAGCAAATTAAAGACTTTCAAGTTGACAACACCGATATAAAAATATTTTTAAAAGTAACAATTTTTTTTGTGCTGGACATGCCTATATAAAAATATTTTACCTGTTTTTTTCTGCAAATGCTTTTATGACTTTATTATATAATTATATAAATTATGCACTACACGTACTTCAGTGGAGAGAGACAGTGATCTTACCTGAGGGCAGTTTCAATCACCTACTTTTGCAAATTTTACAGAAATATATGACCAGGTGACTCTGTTACCCCCTGCTAGGGACCTGTGTAAGCAAGGAGCCCTCACACCCAAGCCTTATTAGCTCTGTGGTAAGTATACATCTGAAGCCTGCTTCCCTGGACAATGCCATGTGACTCTGCTCATCACTGCTCACCCGATGTTGAGAAATAATGGGAATTTCAGTCCAGTTCAGTTGCCCAATGTTTCTTCAACTTAAACATCTTGCCAGTGTTGAGTTCCATTCCTTCCCATTCCCACCTGCATACAGTAGATGAAAAATAAACAAGGTTTAAGAAGTTCGTCCCTACAAGAGCAGTAGGATTTGGTTGGACCTCTTCATCCACAGTGGAAAGGGCTTCCCCTAGGTTCTCTAGGGGCATTGTCGACATAAATAATTTGAAACACCCAGGTCAGTATATCAGCACCATTTTGGCAGCTTACTCTCTCTCAGTCCCGTGAAGAAATACTGTGCCAGTGAGAGTGATCAGTTTGTCTGGCTGTTCCCCTGCCACGAGGGCCTGGGCCTGAGGCTTCAGGACAGCCTGATAGGCATAAGTCCTACTGCTCCTTGGAATGTGAGGGGTAGAGGGTTGGAGCAAACTCAGTGGTCCATTGTGGTTATTCCCAGACATTATTTGTTTAAGATCTGAAGGATCTTATGTCCATTGTCCTGTCTTGTTGAGGAAATGAGGATGATGCTGGCAAATTGAAGCCCTTGGTAGAGGAGCTGCTCTGCTCCTCTTGCACTAGTGTTTTTCTATTTGGCTTGTGCTGTCCCTCTCCATGTCTCTGTCTCACTCCCACAGCATAGCACTTAGTCTTGCATAGGATGTTTGCAGAACCTGTGTATAAAAAATGCTCAACAGAACTTAGTTTGGAGAATATAAGATTTAAGGAAGATATGGGAGGTTCACCAATCTGAAGGGTCCTCATGTGGAAGAGAAAAATGCCTTGTTCTTTGAGACCCTATGCTGTTAAATTGGGTTGGTGGGAAAAAAAATTGAGGAAGTTTCAGTCCCAGGGGGAAAGCTCTTTCTTTCTTAGGGTTGTCAGGGATGGAACAAGCTACTTTTTGGTGAACCCCCCCCCCCTCAGCAGATACCTTAGGGAATGGATTCTGATGTTGTTTGGATTTAGGGTTCTAGTGATAAGTTGAGATGAAATCTGAGGAAATGGAGATAACACCCCATGGTGAGATCACATCCTGACAGAGTAAGGGCATCCCTTTTCTTTGGTTCTAACTTCCTCTCCTAGGCCAAGTGGACCTCACTCTTGGACACTGTACCCTGAGTCTTTGACTCTTAGATGCTGCATTCACCCTTACAGGCTTAGCCCCTATTTGTGCTGTTATTCCCCAGCAAACACCCCATTCCATCTGCTGATATTGGCTGACATCTCTCTTCCATAAGTTTCTGGTAGTCATGACCTCTTTTCATGGCCTGTCTAGTCATCACCTTGCTTAGGCCTCAGTTCTTTTGCATGTAGCTCAAGCCAGGAGTCCACCTGTATTGGTGTGACAGCTAGGTTGTCATTAAATTCTTTCCCAAAACCTGTGATTACCTGAATCTATGAATCTTGACTTATTTGGCTTTGGTGGCAGGGTGGTCTCAGCATTTGTTTTGATGGAACAGTGGATCCCATTGAAGGAGTGGATCATGGCATAATCTCCCTACCATGCCCTTCTTTGGTATTTTCTCTTTCATGCTCTCCTCATAGAATGTTAGTTTCACAACAGATTCTCATCCTCAAATACATTTTGACCTGCCTGGCTTGACTAAATGTCTCCTAACTTACTCCATTTGTCTTTTCCTAGCTTTATTCTCCTCTTCCCCTAATTCAGTGCTTTATTGCCACCAGTGAGGCTATTGAGCAATGCTTAGCTCTACCCAGGCTCTCAGATTGTAAGAGGATGCCAGTCCCTGCTTGTATCTATGCCAATCTTGGATGTTTATTATTATTATTATTATTATTTTATTTTGTTTCATTCTTGGATGTTTTAATGATAAATTACCCCTTAAATTACTCCTTTATTGGGGACTTTGGAAATAATTTCTTGCTTTCATTACTAGAAAAATATCTTTATGGATTTACAAATAGCCAAATACTTTACCACGTGGAAACCGCTATATAGAAATGAAAAGCACGATCAACACTTACGTTCATTTATTCTCTCTCAAGTGATTTGGATTTAGTCTTATCTGCCCAGAGAAAAGCTGGGCTGTGTTTCCAGCAGGAGTGAAAAACTAGCCACGCTAGAGACCTCACAGCTCAGTTGATTTCAATCCTCACCCATGTCATCTCCTGGGAGCAGACTGGACTTGTCAGCTGTTGCACTGTGCCTGACAGAGTCTGTGTTCCTTGCTAGGCCTTTTGTCTCTCGGGGCCCAAATCCTTAACCTTAGACACATCACTGACTTGGAGTGTCTGCTTGATCACCTGGCAAAAGTGACACCAGCTTTGGAGTACCTCAGCCTGCTGGGTAACGTGGCATGTCCCAACGAGCTGGTCAGCTTGGAAAAAGATGAGGAAGACTACAAGAGATACAGGTGAGTCTTTAAGGGGTTTGAACATGGTGGGAAAAGGACAAATAGCATCTTTCGAAGGGGATAGCATTATGGGATACATAATAGATGTTTGGTAAGCATCAGTGGACTTCCCATGATAATACTAAACGTTAACTTTTTGATAACCTATAACCATTGTCTCCCTCCATCAAGGTCACAGGAACCAAGAAACATGAAAATCTGCTAGGTGGTCTAGGCCAGGGGTTAACAAACTTTTTTTTGTAAATAGCTGGGTAATAAATATGTTAAGGCTTTGAAGGTCATATGGTTTCTATCACAATGATTCAACTCTGCTGTTGTAGTGAAGAAGTGGCCATAAACAATTTGTAAATGAATATGCAGGGCTATGTTTCAATAAAACTTTACTTACAAAAACAAGGAGAGGGCCAGTTTTGACCCATTGGCTACATTTTGTTTACCCGTGCTCCATGTTATAAGATTTTCCCATGGTCAGCCTCAGAGTCACCTTTTATTTTTTTTTTTTTTTTTTTTTTTTTTTTTATTTTTTATAAATTAATTTTTATTGGTGTTCAATTTACCAACATACAGAATAACACCCAGTGCTCTCCCTCTTCGCTGATGACATGATACTCTACATAGAAAACCCAAAAGCCTCCACCCCAAGATTGCTAGAACTCATACAGCAATTTGGTAGCGTGGCAGGATACAAAATCAATGCCCAGAAATCAATGGCATTCCTATACACTAACAATGAGACTGAAGAAAGAGAAATTAAGGAGTCAATCCCATTTACAATTGCACCCAAAAGCATAAGATACCTAGGAATAAACCTAACCAAAGAGGTAAAGGATCTATACCCTAAAAACTATAGAACACTTCTGAAAGAAATTGAGGAAGACACAAAGAGATGGAAAAATATTCCATGCTCATGGATTGGCAGAATTAATATTGTGAAAATGTCAATGCTACCCAGGGCAATTTACACGTTCAATGCAATCCCTATCAAAATACCATGGACTTTTTTCAGAGACTTAGAACAAATTATTTTAAGATTTGTGTGGAATCAGAAAAGACCCCGAATAGCCAGGGGAATTTTAAAAAAGAAAACCATAGCTGGGGGCATCACAATGCCAGATTTCAGGTTGTACTACAAAGCTGTGGTCATCAAGACAGTGTGGTACTGGCACAAAAACAGACACATAGACCAATGGAACAGAATAGAGAATCCAGAAATGGACCCTGAACTTTATGGTCAACTAATATTCGACAAAGGAGGAAAGACGATCCACTGGAAGAAAGACAGTCTCTTCAATAAATGGTGCTCAGAGTCACCTTTTAGAGAGAGAACACTTCCCATGAAAATGAGGGAGCTTATATGGGATCCCAAGAGGAACTCCCAGAAGGCCCATAACTTTGTTCCATAGTTATGCCTCACTGTCCACCAACCACGTGCTTTGATGAGCTCTAAGGAGAAATGCTTGTCCTCCCCCCCTCTCTACTACTAAACCATGTGCTTTGAAATATCTGACCCAAAGTCACCTGTTTTAGGTAGACTCCTTGAGCTTACCAGTTTTACTAGACTTCTTTTATAATTTTCTTTGTTTATTTTGAGTTGTGTGTCTTCATTCTTGACTGTTGTTTTGCAAATGTTTTTAGATGATCTTTTCATATGTGTAGCTTCTTTCTTCATTATGATACAAGCTCTCATTAACATCCTCCCTGAATCACTGTGGGCAGGGGAGGGGAAAGAAGGAGGGAAATGTAAGGCAGGTAAGGCCACTAGATAATAAATTCGGAAGGATTAGGGAAAGAAGATAATGGTTTGAAAGAAACTTGTTCTCTTGGGACTCCTATAAAAATCTGTGGTGATCCATGAAGGAATGAAGTCAGTGGAGTTCATATTGTATAAAGGCAAAGCTGTAGGAGATACTGAAGGCTATTGAACACTGTATATTTTTAAAACATATACACAAAGACACAAAAGCTACAGCAGGAATCTGCTTATATTTCCTTATGGGGAAGCATTGTGTACCTTTAGCCTCATTTTCTAGGTTTCTTGATTAATTTTGTAAGGAGTCTGAGACTATTTTAAATCATCTTAGAATAAAACTCTAACCCTACTTTTTAAGAAATATATTAAGTCTTTCTTCATTATGAAGATTTTCATTTGGATGTGACCCTGCAGATTTGAATGTCAATTCTGTTAGGAGAAATATGATTAATATCCAGCAGGTGAAGAGTTACACATTTCTAAATCAACCTTGTAAGTTACTTAATCGCTTAGAACTTAATTTGCTTCTTTAACACTCTTATCAACTCTGAAGCCTTTAGGAGCCTGATTTCAGATATGAAAGGGTCTCTTAAAACATATTTTATCTTCTTGCAGTAATTTATAAGATGTGTCTTGGAGGGGTCTAACAAGTCCAAGAAAGTTCTTCTAGTCAACATTTTTAGAAAACCAAGCACGATTTAGGAAATTTTCATTTGACTTTTTTCTTTAGATTTCTGTGTTTAATTCTTTTTTTAAAAAGGATTTATTTGTTTATTTTACCCGAGAGAGAGCACACGCAGCAGGGGGGCACACGCAGAAAGAGAGAGAGAACCTCAAGCAGACTCCCTGCTGGAGCCAGCTTGAAAATTATTCTTTCTTCTGAGAAGCCGAGTGCTTATAGAGAGATGTATGGCCCTCTGGGTACCTCAAATGCCCACTGCCTATTTGGATTCAGACCCATTTGATGTCAACAAACACAGTCAACAAGCAAGGGATTATCCTTCAGACTCAATCCAAGTGGTGGACATTGGGTCCTGATCCTTCAGGGAGTGCTGGGTTCTAGAGGAGTGATTTATCTCGTGTCCTGGCACTGGCACCCACTCAGCCCGACCTCATTACTCCAGTTCTGTAGGGCTTGAGGGATGGGGGGCTGGGAAGGTAGTTTGTTCATGCACATATGGCAAAGTCGCCACGAGGAGCTGGATTCTAACGGCCACATAACAGCTGAAATCACACCTAGTCAGAAATACCCTAGAAAGTCCATAAATCACCCACAACAATGGCGAGATGCTCACGCTCTGAGAGGAACAGGAAGTAGGAACACTGGAAGGAACATTACATGTGTGCCCATCCAGTCACACATTCACTGCATGGCACATGACGGTTGAGTGGAATGGTAGGCCTATTCTCTAGCGAGTCTAAATTTTTTTATTCATTTTATTTTTTTATTTTTTATTTCTGGTTGACAAGCACTCTCACACTTACATTTGGATGAGATAAATGTACATATGATGTAGTTCTGTTCTCTGGTCTGTAAGCAGCCCTGCTTTCTTCATCTTGGAGTTTGTGCTTCATTTGCTCCTGAGAAATTTTAGGGTTTTACAATATGGCTGTTGAATCCAGAGTTCTTGTAGTGTTTGAGCTTCTACCAGGCAATGCAGCCTCCTTCTTTTTTTGCCTTTTGGTAAAATATTTTCCTGCCCCTTCCTCCTACAAAGCATGAGGTCTGCCTTCCTTCTAGCTGTTATCCAGAGCCTAATAGTAGGGCCTCTATGTAAATTTATGTGACATTTTCACTAGAAAATTGCTTAAAAAATGAATGATATTTCTACAGTTTACTGTTTTTCACTTTAAGTACATTTTCTGACAATATGTCTTCTATTAATCATTTAAGCAATAGTAGGAGCCTTAAAGGAGTGTATTCAGAAGCAAGAACCCATGGCTCATTTAGTGCTGTCTGAAAAAATTTCTTATTGATTGGCATCCTCTGTGGTTATGTGATGTAATATTTATAATATGTCACCCAGCCATACATCAAAACAAGTACGTCTGTTTCATTTCTCTGGGAGGTGTTGATTTCAGAGAGGTCAGCCCACTTTTAGGTCACGTTGTGGCCAACCACTGGAGCAGAAGTGGGAAGTGACTAGATTTATGGAGTTATTGGAAATGGCTTCACAGATGCTTCACTTTCTGCTGAGTCCTTCCTCCCATCCCCCAAGGTTACCCCTTCTCCTTCCTTCCTTACCCCCTGTGCACACAGTTCGATTTTCTTGGCACATATCCCCACCGTAAAACGGGCTCATTAAAACTGTATGTGAGCATGAACATACTACCAAGTTGTTGAGCGGTGCCCTGGTCCTGCTGGGGCAGGAGCGAACCACGCCTGGGGTTTTTTCTTTGCCATTCATCACAGTTCATGGCTGAGAAATGTCCATTGCCTTGTTATTATAGCAGCTTGAACTTGCCCATGCTTTGCTGTGTGTACACACTGTGCCACTCTTTTGGGAAGAATATTGAATGGAGGTGAACATGATAACAAGCAGCCTTCAGGATTTGGGAGGGAAGAGAGTGGTGAGGCAGAGCTTGGTTGGCTTGGGAGGCCGCCGTCATACTAGGAAACCACCTGAGGCCTCCTGTGGAATTCAACACCAGCCAAAAAATGAGTCACGTTTGGGAAACTTGGGTGCGCGGAGTGGTCTGTTTCTCGTCTTCCTTTGCAGTTCTTTTCTTTCTTCTTCCTGCAGAAAGGAAGTGAAAGTCAACAGTACGCAAGAGCTAGGCCTGGCTTCTCAACTGCAGGATTTGGTCTCATGGTCTCTTGGCTCTACCTCTGTCACCAAACCCTCCTGCCATTCCTTCATTCCCTCCTGCCACTCCAATCTCTGCTTGGCCTCTCCTTCCTCCTGCTTCCTCAGTAGGCCCCTCTGTATTTCTCACAACTTTAAATTATTTAAAACGTGACACCCTTCCTTTTTTCCCTCACAGAGAGCAGCCTGGGGCCTGCCCAGTGTCTGTAGCACTCAGCCAAAGGGAAGGAGGGAGGGACCCTCCGCAGTCTGTTGGCTGTCCCGGGCTGCCACCATTTCCCAGCCGAATAGGAGCTGTTAAACTTGTGGCTTACATAACCCAGCTAGCATTCTCCAGCTAATCTACAATCTGGGCTTTGAAGATCACAAGAAAGCAAAGGTCACGACCCAGAGATCAAAGTGACAGAAGCCCACAGAGTAATTGCTGGTTACCCTCTGTAGAG